GGGTGTTTCTCGCGGGACCCCCCCCCCCCCCCCCCCCTAAAAACAAAATAACTTGCAAGAAGCTAAACAAAGCCTTAAAAAAACGGAATTAGTTGAAGGGTTGTTCACCGTTTGTGTCTCGTTTCTCTTTCTTTTCTTCCTCCCTGGCTCTCCCGACGATCCTGGGCCACTCATAGGCCCTGGGATTATTCGCATTTCCAAAGATGAACAGGATGTTCTGCAGAATCGCATCGAGGACGACGACGCCGAAAAGCGCCCAGGGGCCCAAGGGCTGGCAATACCATGGAAGCTCGTCTGGCGCACTGTCAAGCACTACCGTCGATGGCCGCACTATGTGTCGACATTTGCCGTGTTTTCGACCTGGAGCCCCTTGACGACATATACTCCGTCAATCATGATGTAAGGTGGAAAAATACTTGGCCGAAATGCCACGCAGAACATGTCGCCTCTGAAGTTTTGGGAACCGCTGACGGCAACGAGCAGGGCTCTTGGCTTCGACCGCACTGCAGCCAACGCTCTCGCGGCTGTTGGCGCCTCTCTAGCCCTCGTTGTTGTCTTCCTCTTTGCGTACATGAGCGACAGGACGAATCTGCGAGGTGGTTCCGTGATTGCCGCCCACGTCTGCTACCTCGTTGCCTTGGTAGTGGCTCGTCAAGTCCATCCTCATGTTGGCAAGTGGTCTCGCTGGGGCTTGTGGACCGCGGTGAACAGCTTCGCCGTTGGCTACCATCCTGTTCATAATTCTTGGGTTCAGCTTAACTGCAGGGAGCCGGGGGAGCGGAGTATTGCTATTGCGTGAGCATGGGAACCCTCCCCCATGTTGAACAAAAGTCTGTCTGGACTGTTGAGAATACTGACTTCCTTGCAGGATGTGGGTCATGTCTGCCATCAGCGGGTTGATGGTAGGAACTCAATACTTTCGTGCAGGTGATGGCCCATTGTAAGTCCTTGTAATGCTTGTTTTGGTCTGGGGAGATGCTGAACCCTTCTTTTAGTTATCGGGCTGGCCTTCGCACTATGATTATCATGGTATCGCTTGGCATCGTCTTTGCCGCTCTTCAGGAGGCTCTTTACATCATACATAACCGGAGGGTGGCGCAGGGGAAGAATCGGGGCAGAAATGGTTTGGCCCCAATGATATATGTGCCGTAGAGGGAAAAGAAAGGCAGGTCTCTGTATGGGCTAGGAAATGAGTACATGAGATCGGGCTAGACGAACTAATAGATGATTGTATAGACTCTGGTGGCTCCCCGCGTCAGAGAAAGGGAGTACGAAAAAAAAAAAAAAAAGCTTCACCAGAATGAACCAAAGCCACCTAGAAGGGTTATGCTGGAGCTATGGGAGGGAATTGCACCACGAGAGAAGGCTCAAGGAGTATATCTTGGGTCTCCCGAAGTCAGCACGGCTTTTATACACCTAAAATGGCGCCGATAGTGCTAGATTCAACGAGATATATTCCGAATGCCTACTCGGTACCGAATTGAAATTATAACTTAAACTTGAGTAGACACCTCTTGGAACCTGCCATACCGACCATCTCGGACTCACCTAACTGAGTTGCTATTGTGGAATGAGCCGCAGAAACAACGAGTCAAAAGCGTATGCAGCTCTGGACAGATATCCGTGTCATGTTGTTATTTTCTACGTCCCTGGAAACATTTGCAGGCCTTGACCAGAGGACGCATAGCCGTTTAGCAAAGAAAGTTTCCAGGATGGCTTTGTGATTTGGAGTTGCACTTGGCCGCAATAGCCAGTACCTGACTCGTGACAAGATACATTGCAAGTATGGCCTACTCGTATTCATTTGGCCCAGAAGAAGACGATGGAGAAAGCCTCCAAGTGTCCACGCTGCGTGCATTCCTGGTGTATGACGCCGTACATTACGGTTCTCTGGGTTGAGTACGACCGGGCACATAGTGTTCATTCTATTGGGTCCTACCTGATGCAGTTCTGGCACGAATACTGGGACAGGTCGAAGAAAAAAAGCCCTTATATTATGAGAAGTGTTCCAGTGTGAATCTGGAGACCCATTTGTAAGCACAACTGTATCCTGCCTTGCCCGAAGACCCCTGATTGCAAAAAGTCTACGGTAGGTTGCTGACCGGAATGCGAGGCCATTGGAGCAAAGACTGCCACTGGCTACGAGTCACGCCTGTTCCACGAACAGTGTGTCACTACGTGGGTTGAGCAACTGCCCGAAACATGTCAAATGGTGCCGTTCGTCAAAACCATCAAGTCCCTCGTCGAGCACGCAGGACACGCTTAAGAAAGAACGATTCGTCCAATTGGTTCAAATATACACGGTGTATCTAACATTCTACTCCTTTAGTCATTTATTGCTTCGCATCCTGTCCCGCAATAAAGGGTTTGCCATCCCCAGGTCCAATGCGAACATCAGCAAATATCTGCTTTGGCCTCAATTCGACGGGGGTAACGTTCTTGGGCTGGTCGGGAATCTTCTTTTCGAGTTTCTAAGCCAGTAGAATTAGTTGATTGTCGCCAAAGCATGCGTTTTATTCGTCCAAAAGAAAAAAGGGCACCGGGTCGCCTACCAGGTTATCAAAGACACACTTGTTCAGCTTCCACTCGGCAGGACGACACTGCCAAAGCTGCTGATTTCTATCGTCCAGACACTTCCAGTGCTTGCGGAACTCGGCGAGGCAGTGGGTGTTGATGTCCGTGAGTCTGCTACGTTGTCAGCCTGCTGATTCTCGTTGCCTCGTGCGGCCACACAACCAGCCTGCGATGAAATCGCCGCTAGAATTGTGATAATGGATAGTCTCATAGAGCTCTGTGATTGGGAACGTACACGCTCTGAGCGCAGCGAGTCACCCGACGACCCTCCTTCATGCACTCAAACTCGCCACGGCCGGGGTTCTCCGTCTTGCACTGCATATAGTCGTCGTTGTAGTCGCGGCATCGGGCGCCGATAAAGAAAGACGCGGACAAGAGAGGCGCGGAGCTGGCACCAATCTCCTTGACAGCAGGGACATTGTCAGGGAGAGGCGTGGTGTCGATGAGGACTTCCTGATGGAACCTGCGAGCCGAGTGGTTAGCCGGAGAGCGCTTTCATCCTTTTGCCTCCGAACGCCCTTTTTAAGCATCCCGCCAAAACGCCAGTATGCTCAATCGCACAGCGGGGGAAAGGGAATCGACGCAGAAGACATACTGAGATCGTCGGGTCGCCATGTTGTCTGTGTTGGGGGCTGCCCGTTCGTCGAACCAAGAATGAGCTGATGAGATGGTGGTCGGCTGGATGGGAATTTGAGGTGAGGTTAGAATTGGCGACCTGTGATTGGCTGCGAGGTGGATATGAGGCCGACCTGGCACACGAGGCGCTTGTCCAAGATGTGGATGCGCGGCTGCAGCTACAAGTTTGGCCTGCTTTGGCAGAGCGCGACAACAAAAAAGCTGTGTATAGACGAGGCGAGCAACGACTAGCTCTCAGCCGTGCCCCAGCGCCCAAGAGTTCGACCCGTACATATCCCACAACCTCACGACTCTTGAAAAACAGCCGAGAAATACCGTCGCCTCCACGCTGCAAGCTTCGCAGCGCCCAAATTTGCACCTCCAATCCCTCGGCGAGCTCGACATTGAGCAACACCGCGAAAAATCTGTCGCCATGTCGCTCTTCGGCCAGCCCAAGCCAATGGGCTCTGGCGGCCTTTTTGGCCAGTCGCAAACTACACAACAGGCACAGCCTGCGCAGCAGACAGGCAGCGTCTTCGGCCAGACCATGGGCAGCCAGCAACCCGGCGGCCTGGGCAACTCGATGATGCCACAGCAGCAACAAGTTCAACAAATGCCAGCTTTGGCTCAGTCACAAGCCCAGCTATCAAGCTCGCTGTGGCAGCCCGGCAAAGAAACACCACGTAGGCTTCTCCGTCCGAGTCTCCTTGACACTCACCACCAGAACTAATTTGCCTCTAGACCAAAAACCAATCCTCGACCAGATTAAACTCGTCACCGAGAAATGGGACCCCGCAAACCCAAGCTGTGTCTTCAAGCACTACTTCTACAACAAAGTCGACGAAGCCCACATCCCCTTCTACAAGCCCCAACCCCACGAGGACCCTCGCGAATGGGAAGAAGCCCTACAGAACAAGCCCGCCCCAGGATTCATGCCCGCCCTCTGCTCGGGGTACACTGGCGTTGCGGACCGTCTCAAGACACAGAAGCGCGCCATTTCTGAATTCAATACGCGTCTGCACCAGGTCAATGGCAGTCTGGATGCCATCTTGCAGCGACATGAGTTGGAAACGGAGGTGCGGGCCCTGGCGGCGCGGAGACGACAGACCGCCATCAGCGAGAGATGCCTGGCCCTAGCGGCCAAAGTACAGATATTGAGGAATCGCGGGTACGCATTGAGTGGCGATGAGGACGACCTCAAGAATAGGCTGCAGACGTTGGAGCGCGAGGTGCAGGACCCTGCATTGGGAGCCAGGGAGGAGGAGCTGTGGAGTAGGTTGATTGTGCTGAGAGGGTACTCGGATCGCTTGAATAAGGAATTGGATAAGCCTGCCGGTCAAGACGGTGAGGGTTTGGACCCGGAGACCGAGGCCAAGGCCAGGAGGGTACGTTTTGTCATTACTCTACATCATGGGATATTAGGAACGAGCAGTTACTGACTGAGATTATAGGTTTTGGAAGACTACGAGAAGCAGCTGCAGCATCTGAAGAAAGAACTGGAGGCGCTTGGTGCCGATTTTGAGGAGTGGGAGAAGAGCCGCAACGCTAGCTTGAAATCGAGATGATGCTGCGGGATTGGGGCGCGATGATCACGGAGCATTTGAGAAGGGAATTGGGTTTGCTATTGAGAAACTATGAAATCTCTTGTACAATGCGATTCGGAAACAGAGGAGTGGTCGATGGACGGACTCCCCGGCTTCGCAGAGGCGTTGGATTAGATAGACTAAAAATGATCTTGGACTTTGACATGTCTTGTTTAACGCCTCACCGAAAAATCGTAGAGAGCCGTTTGGCGAATAAACCTGGACTGGACGAGTTTCAAAGGGCTTCATTCAGCCATGATAGCGCATGACACAGCCTCGTCAACTTTCGTCTGAATTATTCTATTTTAGTGGCTGGGCAGAACGGCCGCCTCGACGTCTAAATCGTAGTCGTTTTATGTGGTACAAGGTATGCTATACAGGTGCCCCATCCAAGAAAAGAGCTATGCCCCCTAATTTCGTACACAAGGATTATGGCCCTTGGCGTGTTGTTACAGCGCTTCAACGCAGGTTTGTCTGTCGGAGGGCGATGGCAAAATCTCCCACAGTCTTTCAAATTTTGCTATGGTAGACCGTGGGCGATTTCAAAAGATTCTGCTGGCCATGTCGATGGCAAATGGGGCTGAGAATTGGTCAGCACTCGATGTCACAATGACCAACCAACAAAACCAAGACCCTATCCAGACTCCTTCTCAACTGGGTGAAACATACAGAGATACAACATGAACGCGGTAGCCACGACTTGCTGCACGGTAAAGGTAGCCTCAGCTTCCATGGCGCGGATCTCCTCAGGAGACTGCTGCGGGGGGGCAACTAAATGGCATCAATAAAAAAGCACGTCAACTTGGGCTATTACCCAACCGATAACCCAATGTCTAAGTGCAGCGTGGACTAAAGGGAACGTGGGGTGGCGCGGTCAAGGGCGGCAGACGTACATCCTCCAAACATTTTTGATACTTGGGTTGTCGATGCTCGAGGGAGAAAAGGGTCGGGTGATTCGTTGCCCCAGGATTTTGTCTGGGAGCCCGTGGTATTTACGTAAAAAAAAAGGGCGACTTCGGCGGCGAGGTGGTGTTGCAGTCAAGAAGCTAGAACGGAGTTACGCCAGAGTGGAAAATTTACGACGTGACTAATTAAGAGAAGTGGATGTGGCCGTAAGAGGCAGCTAGAGTCGCAAAGCGTCGGCCCGGTTAGCTCCGATTGATGGGCTGCTTCTTTTGTCCTTGGTGCAAAGGCGCTGGGTTGGAGGAAAGTGGTCACCTGGTTGAGCCATGACTGGTGGGTTTGCGGGCGGATCTACACATGTACCTGGATGGAACCATTTATCTATTGTAGTTGGACACCCACTGGTTGCAGTGAGCTGCAAGCAAGAACTGTAACATTGTCAACATTTGGACCAGACATTGACTTGACGGGACATGAACAGGCTCAGCAGAAGTCCAATGACATGTTGGGGGGGTGGAGGAGGGCCTGGCGCATGATTTTAGGAGAAAGAGGCCCACTGGGGAACCACTTGACTGCCTGGGGAAGCGCAGACTTGGAATGTCTAGTTTTCTCTACTCTCACGTCTCAAGCTTGGCCACACGCGGTGGCATGTTCAGAGGTGATGCGATAACAGCCTGGACCGCCTGTGGGGAGTCGGCTGGCCGATGGGGACGACGAAAAAAAATCCCTGCACTAGCCGATAAAGCGGGAACCGGAGACCAAAGATGTCATGGCAAGGTTCTTTGGATTCTCCGGTTCTTTAGCAGCCGCGCACGGAGTGCCCATTATCTTTTCACCTTTCTTCTCCTCGTGATCCTTCTCCTTCTCCTTCATCCATTGCATCCACAGCCTTGCTTGCTTGCAATTCACTCCTGTCGTGGCGAGCTGCGGAGAGCATAGGACACTTTTTTGCCGTGCCTGCCATCAACAGCTCGGCTGCCATCGTCTCACTGGTCGCCACTTGCGCCGCGCCCCTCGGATTTTGGCCCGTCGTGGGACGAGACGAGCTTCAGGCCGTCGGCCCAAAAAAAAAAAACACCCAAAGGCCTCAGGGATATTCTTCTTTCCGAGATAAAAGGAGCCTGTGTTCTTCTGCTATTCCAAGGAGCCCAACGCTCAGCGCTCGCAAGGTCTATCGGCAGCAATGGCCTCGAGACTGGCTCTCCGAGGTGCGCCGCTGCGCTCCTCGACCGCGGTTGTTAGCCGCGCTGGGCCATCGACCGCATCCGCCAGCTTCGTCGCCGTTGCGCGCGCTCCCGTTGCACGCTTCGCTGCCGCACGCTGCTTCTCCCAGACCTCCCGGGTTGCGAGCTCCAAGGCTCAGCTGGACTCGATTCGCAAGGACCCGGCCTATCTTGACATGCAAAAGACCAGCGACGAGAATCCTGAGCCATGGATGGACTTCACTGCACGACACATTGGTCCTCGCGACGAGGACATCCCCTCCATGCTCAAGCAATTGGGTTCTGGCGTTGAGTCTCTGGAGGCTTTTGTCGCTCAGGTCATTCCTGAGGACATTATGCTACCTCCCCAGAAGACGATCCAGCCCAAGACTTACAGCGAGTCTGGCGTGGCTGAGCTCTTCAAGGCTATGCATGCCCAAAACGAAATCCACACCTGGATGAACGGTGGTGGTTACTACCCCGTGGAGATCCCCGGCGTCATCAAGCGAAATATCCTCGAGAATCCCGCCTGGTATACAAGCTACACGCCTTACCAGGCCGAGATTAGCCAGGGCCGTCTGCAGTCGCTGCTCAATTTCCAGACCATGGTTTCTGACCTCACCGGTCTGCCTGTTGCGAATGCCAGTTTGCTCGATGAGGGTACTGCCGCCGCTGAGGCCATGACCATGTCTCTCAGCAACCTGTCTACTTCTCGTGCTAAGCGCCCCGGAAAGACCTATGTTGTCTCTCATCTCGTCCACAATGCAACCTTCCAGGTCATGCAAGGCCGTGCCGAGGGCTTTGGCATTCGTCTTGAGATGATGGATTTGTCCGCCCCCGATGCTTTCCAAAAGATTCAGGCTCTTGGTGACGACCTGGTTGGTGTCCTCGCCCAGTACCCCGACACTAACGGTGGTGTTGGCGACTTCCGCGAGCTGGCCGATGTAGCCCACAAGCAGGGCACCCTCTTCAGCGTCGCGACGGATCTTTCTGCGCTCACTCTTTTGACCCCTCCAGGTGAATGGGGTGCCGATGTTGCTTTCGGTAACTCGCAGCGATTTGGTGTTCCTCTGGGATTTGGTGGTCCCCACGCCGCCTTCATGGCCGTCAAGGAGGCCAGCAAGCGTCGTCTACCGGGCCGCATTATCGGAGTTTCCAAGGACCGCACTGGAGGACGTGCTCTTCGTCTGGCTCTTCAGACGCGTGAGCAGCACATTCGTCGTGAAAAGGCCACTAGTAACGTCTGCACTGCCCAGGCTCTCTTGGCAAACATGGCTGCCATGTACGCAATCTACCACGGACCTGCTCAGCTGAAGGAGATGGCGGTCAACAACCTTCGCCACGCTCGCATGATCCAGTCTGCTGCTCAGCACTATGGCCTGACTGTTCCTACTGCCACTCTTGACCCCAGGGGTCGTGTTTTGTCTGACACCGTCACGATCAGCTTCGATGATCCCAAGGTTTGCCAGACACTCCGAAAGGAGCTTCTGGAGCGAGGAATCAGCGGAGGCAAGGCCTGGACTAGCAATGAAGTTGTTCTCGCCGTTCCCACCACTTTCAATCTGGATACATATGTCCGCATTGTCCAGGCTTTCCAGGCTGTTGCAAAAAAAAATCACACCGACCGCAATTTAGACGTTGCTAACAAGTTCTGGACTGAGGGTTGGAAGCCGTCTCTGGACGAAGTTGTCAAGGACATTCCGCAAGTTGTCCGCCGAGAGTCCAGCTACTTGACTCACCCCGTATTCAACTCCTACCACAGCGAGACCGAGATGCTTCGATACATCTACCAGCTGCAGTCCAAGGATCTGTCTCTGGTCCACTCCATGATTCCCCTGGGTTCTTGCACCATGAAGCTCAACGGAACAACGCAGATGGAACTCATTGGCCACGATAAGAGCTCCAACATCCACCCCCATGCCCCCGTGAGCAGCTACAAGGGATACCAGAGACTGTTCAGCGCGACCTCTGCGCAGCTAGCTGCCCTCACTGGCATGGACGCCACCTCTCTGCAGCCCAACTCTGGTGCCCAGGGCGAGTTTGCTGGTCTGCGAGCTATTCGCAAGTACCACGAGCAGCAGCCCGGACCTAAGCGTGATATTTGCTTGATCCCCGTTTCCGCTCACGGTACTAATCCTGCTTCCGCCGCGATGGCCGGTATGCGCGTCGTCCCCGTCAAGTGTGACACCGTTACTGGTAACTTGGATCTCGCCGATCTCGAGGCCAAGTGCAAGAAGCACGAGAAGGAGCTCGGTGCTTTCATGGTCACCTACCCTAGTACATTCGGTGTCTTTGAACCCGGTGTCAAGAAGGCATGCGAGATTGTCCACGCTCATGGCGGTCAGGTCTACATGGACGGTGCCAATATGAATGCCCAGATTGGTCTTACCTCTCCAGGCGCTCTGGGTGCTGATGTGTGCCATCTCAACCTTCACAAGACCTTCTGCATTCCTCACGGCGGCGGTGGCCCTGGCATTGGCCCGATTTGCGTCAAGTCTCATCTCGAGCCTTTCCTTCCTCACAAGGACAGCCAGACTCCTGTTGCCAGCGCCTCTTTCGGTAGCGCGAGCATTGTACCCATCAGCTGGTCATACATTGCTACCATGGGTAAGCTATATGTTACTGTATCTTAGCTTAAAAATCACGGACAATTACTGACAAGATATAGGTGACAAGGGTCTCCGCAAGGCCACCTCCATGGCCCTTCTCAACGCCAACTACCTCCTTGCTCGCCTCAAGGACCACTATCCCATCCTGTACACCAATGACAATGGTCGCTGTGCTCACGAATTCATCATCGACGCCCGCCCCTTCCGTGAGACGGCTGGTGTCGAGGCTATCGACATTGCCAAGCGTCTGCAGGACTACGGCTTCCACGCCCCCACCATGAGCTGGCCTGTTCCCAACACGCTCATGATTGAACCCACAGAGAGTGAGAGCAAAGAGGAGCTTGACCGCTTCGCTGACGCCCTCATTAGCATCCGTTCCGAGATTCGCGAAATCGAGGAGGGCAAGCAGCCTCGTCAAGGAAACGTTCTCCGTAACTCCCCTCACACACAGAAGGATCTCCTTGTTGGCGACGGCGAGGGCAAGTGGGAGCGTCCCTACTCTCGCGAGAAGGCTGCCTACCCTCTTCCATATCTTATGGAAAAGAAGTTCTGGCCTACCGTTACTCGTGTCGATGACAGTAAGTTATTGCTCTCAGTCCATTACCTCTCACGAGTGATCGCTTCTAACAGCCGCAGCCTACGGTGATACCAATCTCTTCTGCACATGCCCTCCTGTCGAAGATACGACCCAGTCATAGACCCTCCTCATTATTCAATATAGTAGACTCCCTCTTGGAATTATGCGCCGAAGGGGCTGTGCTCTACAGAAGCAAGCATATTTCTTTTGACAATTTCAACATTCAGCAAGGACGGTGTATAGTACTTTTATCTTGCGCATTAGACCAGGACACGTTTTAACATATACGTCTCTCACGAAGTACCAAGTAGTAACCCCCCCTTTTTTTCTTGATGCTTTTATGAGCCTAGGGTGTTTTGATGAGGCTTCGCTTCTTGGAATTCGCAATTCAACATTTTGGGCGTTGGGATTGGACAATGATACAACTTAGAAAAAATGGCTCATCTTAACAATGGGATAAATGGATTAATTGCGGGCTGATAGAAGCCCCCTTTGTTTGCAGCTTTTTTGGGTCCCAGCGTGAAATCTATATACACCCGTACACCCCTGGTGACCGTCACTTCGTCCTTGTATCATGGCAGCATATCTCGCGTGTAACCTCACATTAGCCATCATTAAGCCTCGAAGACAAGGGCCACACCATCATCACCCGCCGTGACAATCCTCTCGCCCGTCTCGCCCTGCACGAAGCCAAGCACGCCACCGCCCTCGCCATCACCCCTGTGGCCTTTCCACTCCTTGACAAGACCTCTGTCGGCGGCGCCCGCCGCAGTCGTGCCCGTCGCGCCACCGCTTCTCAAATCCCACCTGCGGACGACGCCGTCCATGCCGCAACTCGTCAGCAGCCACGTATTCTTGACAAACTCCAGCCTGACAACGGAATGGTCCTCGTGCGCGCCGGCAATGTGGCGCCGCACAGCGAAGCGCCGGGTCGCGTCGTACACACAGATGGACCCGTCGACGGAGCCGGCCGCCAGCAGCGTCGTCGGCGGGGTCGTCGCCGTCAGCGACACCGCGAGCGACTCCACGCTGTCGCCCTGCGTGTGCAGCGACGCCAGGATCTGCCCGCCGGCAGTGGCGTCGGCGGGAGATTTGCCTCGCTGCTGGGACGACGCGGGCGACAGGCGCGGCAGCGAGACGATTTTCACGGCGCCGCCTGCGCCGCCGGCCGCGACAAAGGATCCCCTGGGGTCGATGGCGATGGAGTACAGGCCGCCCTCGACTTCGAAGCGCTGGTCCTCGCCCGTCAGGGAGACCACCGTCATGCCGTTCTCGCTCGTCATGTTGCGCGCGGCCGCCTCGCCCCAGACGTCCCAGACGTAGAGGGACGAGTCCTCGGACACCGTCGCCAGGAGGTGTCCGTCTGGCGTCCAGGCGCCGGCGGTGCAGGGCGCCGTGTGGAGGAAGTAGCTCTGCACGATTTGGAGCGGGTTCGAGGCGTCGGAGGCGTCGATTGTGTACACCCATACTGAGCCGTCGGATGCGCCGAGCGCAATGGTGTTTTCGTGGTTTGGCGAGGGACACGCCGAGATCCAGTTTACTTCCTCGACTTCCTGCGCCTCGCCTACGAGCTTCATGTCCACCGTGCCCGGGCGCACGTCCGCCTTCCAGACCTTCATGCGGCCGTCTAACCCGCCGCTGACGAGGAAGTCGCCACGGGGCAGCGTCCAGGCGAGTGTGTTGATGGAGTCGTCGTGGCCCTCGAGGGCGAACAGGCTGTCGAGCTGTGTGCTCTTTGGCGTCTCAGCAGGGTTGCTGGCGTAGCTGGCGGGCAGGACGGGCCGTGATGCCGCGGCGGATGTGTCGAAGAGCCATCCTGCGCCTGGGGCGTCGTCTTCAGGTCCTGCAGAGCCACCAACGGCGACGAGCGACGGGTGCAAGGGGTGTTGGGCGATGGTAAAGAGGGAGTCTTGCGGTAGGTCAAAGTAGGCGATGGAGTCGTTTTGCAGCACCACCTCTTCTTCTTCGTCTTCGGCGTCCGAGTCCATGGGGATGTCGTCGCCCGAGTTTTCAATCTCTTCAGCGGCGTCTTCGACGTCGAGGAGGTCGTCGTCCATTTCTTCTGGGTGTGACATTGTGAGTGGCTGATGTGGTCAGGTTTTGGTGCGAGGAAGATGGAGAGCGGCAGGATTGGGTGCCAGCATCGACTGGGCTTAAATACACTGCCTGAGCTGGAGAACAGGCGATCGAAGGCGACGGAACAAGAGTGACTTTTTTTTTTGCTTGTACGGCGCTGCTTGATAAGCAGGAACGTGGTGGGTTGGACGGAGGGGAAAAAAAAGTTGACGTCGAAGCTACCCCTCTGCCCCTCTTTGGCTAGACGTGGCGGTACTCATGTCTTCTGCAGCCCGACAAACGGACGAGTTTAACTAGGCCTGGTCTGTTGATTTGACCGCGTACATGAGAGTTTAGGGAATCGCAAGAAGTGGCTGAAAGAGAAAGTTGGAGTATGTTTCATGCTTTGCTGATGCATTAACTGTACCAGTAATTTCTGGTTAATATTGTGAGCTGTTGGGATACTAGGTGCAGCTCACACATGCTAATTAATACGACGCAACGAGGCATTTGAAATCCTCTCAAATCTACACTTGGTATCAGTTCATCCCATAAATATAGCCCGCATCCCGTAACGCCTTCGGTTTCCCCGATCTAAGTTGATTAGGCACAAGACGCTCTCGTCACTACTCCAAAGACTCGACCCAGTTACTCTCCGCCTGCCTCCTCTTCCATCGCTCCACCACAGCTTTGCGAACTATTTGCTCCTCCTCTTCCACTTCTGCGGCCTGGCCTGCCATCTCCCGAATATGGTGCTTTACGCCCAAGGGCAGCATCTTTTGCCAACCGCTGTGTGTCTTGCAGCGTTTTCGTTCACACATTCCTCTGATCGTGTCGTCTTCGCCCAGCGGGTCGTCGAGCTTCGAGTTTTTGAACACTTCCTCTCCCTCAGGGGACTTGATAAACGCGGAAAAAACGTCTCGTGCAGATACGGCGTCCAACCTGGAGTCATAGCCGCAAATGTCGTCGCCGAACCGTCCAGCAGTAATGGCCGCGCGTCTGCGCTCTTGGGCTAGCTCAATCAGAGTAAACATTTTGTGGCAGAGGAGCGTCTCTTCTGCTAGCTCAAACCGAGCCTTGGCCGCTTCGTCAAGGAACCTTCGTTCTTCGTCGCTTAATAATTTGGAAAGCGCTTCATCTGTTGTGCAATGTCAGCCGTGTGTGTGATAGACTATCTGTGGTCGACTATAGTCACCTCCTTCTGCATCTATGTTGTTGGTCGGATCGTCCGAAAAGGGCGTCTTGATCAGTTTCCACATGCCATCCTCATCTCTACTCCCTATGTCGCTGCTGAGGAGCGCCATAAACTCATCCTGCGCCAGCTGGTCATTCAGCCCATTCTTGGCTCTGCCTTTGGGCAGCCTGCTAATCATTCTCTCCCACCACACTTGCACATGCTCGTCTGAACAAAACACGCTCGGTTGACTTTGCGCCAAACGCGCCGCTTTGCGACAAGCTCTCAGCGCACACGTTTTTTTGTAAATGGTAGCAAGATCCTCGGTTGTACAGTTTGGGCATATGAACTTCTCAATGAGGTTTTCGCCGATTTCTTTGTTCATGTTGATACACTCCCCGTGAAACCAGTCCTCGCACTTTTCGCAGCAAATCATCCACCGATGGTCGTCGGGACCACGGCACAGGCAATATGGGCCGTTGTCGGATTCCTCCTCTCCGGACGGATCGTCTACGCCTGGAGCCGCCGAGCCCGTCTTCGCTTTCTTCTTTCTTTTTGAGTTGCCAGGCCCTGGTCTCTTCGGGACCTTCTTAAGGCCAGTCGCTGTGCCTTTCTTCTTGGACGCCACGGCCATGGCCGCGGAGTCAGGTGCCTCTGTTGAAGGGAGTGGTGTTGGCGATGGTTTGAACGTGGCTGAGGCGAGATCTGAACCGGCTATCCGAGGAGAGCTGACTGCATGCTCAGACTTGACTGCCCAGTCGGCAGATTCGGATCGCAAACGGTCCTCATGTGAGGATCCGGGTCGTTGATCCATCGTACGTAGAGCGAGTGACATGGGCAGCCCAGCTGCGGCAAAGATGCCTATCCTTTCGATCGAATCCTGATTATGATGCAATATTCAGCAAGACTCCCATTATTAAGTTGGATGTGATTCAAGCTGGATGGGGCTGCATTTTGAATACTTTAAAATAGTATTGATGCGTGAGCTTGATGCACGCCTACGTTCACTGTGAGAGTGAGAGCAACAGTGAGCTTCCAGGAGCAGGGCGCAACAGGGGTCCGCGTGTGGACTCCGCTGCGTGCAGTCCCGAGTCTCGGCAAATTTTCGGTGGCAAGTTGCAATCCACATGGAGCTTGTGTCCGAGAATCGTGCCATGCAGCACCAGGCTATTTTTTCCAAGCATTCGCATAAGAGCTTCCAAAACGATTGCTCCAACCTGGAGTCTTCGCACACACAATGTCGCAATCTCTAGCATCGTCCAAAGTCCTCCGGGGCGCATTCACAAAATGCCAGCGATGCTTCTCAAGCCGTGCATTCCAGCCGACGCAGTTGCGGCCGACTCTCCCTCGCGCACCGATGCAGAGCAGACAACCGATTTTGCAGAAGCGAACGAAGTACAAGACTGTCGAGCAGGCAAAAAGTCGACATAGCACTGGTGTACGTGATTGTTCTCGGTCCGGATTGATTCATACACATTTTGAAAGGAGCTGCAAGCTAACAAACCAACCTCTTTCACACAGCCTTTCTCGTGGAAAGCCGGGATTCTATTCGTCGCAACTTGCGGTGCACTGGTTTGGTACTTTGAATTTGAAAAGGAGCGGATGCAAAGAAAGAGGATAGCCGATGCGTCCAAGGGTGTTGGCAGGCCAAAGGTCGGCGGGCCGTTTGAGCTGCTAGACCAAAATGGCAAGCCGTTCACCAGTGAGATGATGAAGGGCAAATACTCCTTGGTATGGTGCTATAATCCCGCAGACTTGTATTTGCGGTGTCTGGTTGTGCTGGGTTTGGGTTGCGAACAATTGACTAACTAGCTCGTGTCAGGTTTACTTTGGATTCACTCGGTGCCCTGATATTTGCCCCGAAGAACTCGACAAAATGGCCCGCATGCTCGATATAGTCGAAGAAAAGGCTCCCGGTGCACTTCTACCAATCTTCATTACTTGCGACCCCGAGCGTGACGATCCTCCGGCTCTCAAGAGCTACCTGGCTGAGTTTCACGACAAGTTCATTGGCCTGACTGGCACATACGACCAGATCAAGGACCTTTGCAAGAAGTATCGAGTGTACTTTAGCACACCGCAAAACGTCAAGCCGGGCCAGGACTACCTGGTTGATCACAGTATTTACTTCTATCTGATGGATCCGGAGGGCGACTTTGTTGAGGCTCTGGGGCGACAGCATTCACCAGACCAAGGCGCCCAGCTGATTTTGGACCATATGAAGGATTGGAGGAAATGAGGGACCAAGACAAGGCGGGAACAGTGTATGATCGGGTGTATGATTGAAGTCTGTATTTGTCCTTGTAAACTAGTGTACGACAATTTGTGCATAGACTATGCCAACCGTGTTGGCTAAAACAACTCAATTCTACTGTAATGTATTGAACTGATTGCGCAAGTGCGAATTTCCTGTAGGCCACGAACGACAGCTATCCAATGCTCCCGCTTAGTTACTTGGTGTTGCGTCTGGAAACCACTGGCTTGGCTGATGATGGTCGACGTGCGGATATGACCCACGCCCTCCGACAGCGGCAACTACAGGGTCCAGGCAGCTTCATAGGTAGGTATGCTGCAATTCTGCAACACCAGATATTTTCAAATTTTACACCACCAATCCCCCCCGACTGTTATCCCTCAACACCATAACAAAGCGGTGTGGTAGTCGAGTTAAGCGACGGCATCGGCAGCCATGTCTCGCGTTGTTCTTTGCACGCGGCGTCTACCGCTGACTGCAACCACCAAACTATCCCAACCAGCTCCTTCGCTCATCCAACAAACTGCAAGCAGGCCACCCCGGCACGTTCCAGTGAGAAGATTTCGAAGCACATCCCTTCTATCGGAGAAATCAAACCACTCATCAAAGACAAATTCCTCTTGGCCGTCGACGTCAGGCACAAAATCCCTGTCAGATATTGCCTTTGCCTTTGAGTAAGCCTGCAGAGCATTATCCTCACTCAACCAGTGTTATTATGAAACTCCTATATCCTCATGCTAACTGCACAAGTATCGATGGAGTACTATACCGTGGCGGCCAAGGCATCCCCGGCGCCCGCGAAATGCTGCGCAGCATCCGCTCCAAAAACATGCGCTACGTATTCCTCACCAACGGGGGCGGCGCCCATGAAGACGCCAAGGTAGCCTCCCTCAGCAAACGTCTTGGCCTATCAATTGATGAGGATGTCATTCGGGACAGGGTCATCTTGTCGCATACGCCTATGCGCGGGTGGGCGGATGAAGTGAAGAAGCAGACTGTTCTTATTACCGGATCCCATCCCGAGACAGCGAGGAAAATTGCAAACGAGTCTGTAAACCTTTGAAAAAAAAATATGGTTCGTCATGTTTCGGCCATCTGACTGTGTGATTAGGTACGGATTTGAGCGTGCCGTCACACCGGCGGATTTAATCCACGCAAATGGCGATTTATACCCCTTTGACAACTTGAAAGACACGCTGCATGCGGAATTCCGCCCTTTACCAGACGGCAAGTCTGCTTCTGCCATAACAGACCCTTATAGTAAGAGCCTCGCTGGAAACGCTCTCAAAATCGACCAGATTCTGGTCTGGAACGACCCCCGAGACTGGTCCCTCGACATTCAAGTCATCCATGACCTACTAGTCTCCCACAACGGCTATCTAGGAACTCTGTCTTCCAGGAATGGGAACCGCAGTCTTCCCAACAACGGGTGGCAACAAGATGGCCAGCCAGAACTATGGATCTCAAATCTGGATCTTGTGTGGAAGACGGAATACCCTGTGAATCGATTCGGCACTGGGGCGTTTCTCGAAGCCCTCAAGGGCGTTTGGTCGGCGGTTACAAATGGCGCTGAGCTACATTATAACGCGCTGGGAAAACCGTCACAATTTACGTACGACTATGCTCATACACGATTACTACAGTACTATTCCACCATGAAGGGAGGTAGAGAAGTGGGTGGGAGGAAGGATGCCACGCCGTTGAGGAGGGTGTACATGATTGGGGATAATCCGGAGAGTGACATTCGCGGCGCGAATGAGTATTGTCCGGAGGATGGGACGGAGTGGGTGTCCATTTTGGTGAGGACGGGGGTGTGGACGGAGACGGAGGCGGAGCGGGAGCCGCGGTACAAGCCTGGTGCTATTGTGGATGATGTCGTGGATGGGATTGTTTGGGCTCTGAGGAATGAGGGCGTCGATGTTGACAGGAAGACCTTGCTTGCCGGGGGGGAATAGAGTGGGTGTAGTTCGTGAATCATTTAGAGCTGGCACGATGAGTGAATATTTGTCTCTGCGCGAGCTAGACAAGTCTGGATAGATGATAGAATGATAATCCGGCTTTGGAGGATTATTACTGCCATCACTATTTTTGGTACCAATTTTAGTTCGCCGAATATCTCCCTCCCTCCATCAGTCTGAATAGCAGCCCTTTGTAGTCCATCGCCGTGCCGAATTCTACGGCTTCCCGCTTTTGTGTCTACATGTGCGCTTCTTCATTGGGGCCTGCAATTAACATTTTGACAGTCTCGCCTGACTTTGCCTTATAAAAGCCTCTCCGGCTTGCTTAAAAGGCACCACGCCCGTGATGAGCTTCTGTACGTCCACACTACCATTCGACACCACTCAACGGCGAGCTTAAAGTCGCCAGGTCCGTACCGGAAGCTCCCTCGCGCGGTGACCTCTTTCTGACACATGGTCGTGATAGGAAACGTAATATCCGACTTGCCCATGCCCCCCTGAACAAAAGTTCCGCCCACCTTAACAACGTATAAACTAGCTTGTATGGAAGCCTCAGCGCCGCTCGCATCAATGACCACATCCGCACCATTCCCCAGGCTGCACTGATCCATTAATGCCTTTGCATTTTCGTCTGCTGGTATCCTTTGGGAGAGGTATGTGTGCGTAGATCCCATTATTTTGGCAATACAAGCTTCGCCTGGAGAATATCCACGCTGACCAGCTTGAAAGCACCGAAACTTCTTGCAACAGCTGCGCAAAGAAGGCCAACTGGACCGGCGCCCATGACTACGACACTGGCACCCGGTGAAATTTGGGCTTGTTTGACGATATGCACAGCAACCGCGAGAGGCTCGATTAGGGCGCCCTCTTGGAGCGAGACGTGGCTGGGAAGCTTGTAACAGAAGTCAAAGGGGGCAACCCAAAAGCCCGCAAGGGTGTCGTCGTTAGGAGGCGTTGCCGCAAAGATGATGTCCAGGCAGAGATTATATCGGCCGGCCAGGCACTCATCACGACGTCGGCAAGGATAGCCCGGCTCAATCGCGACCCTGTCGCCGCGCACAAGCGACTGTGCCGGCAGATTCGTGACCTAATACCATGGGATCCTTGACTTTAAAGTGGCCGATTGCACCGTGCTCCCAGTAGTGTACGTCTGATCCGCAGATACCAGTGTAGTTGACGGCTATGAGGACATCGTGCGGCGTCGAAACCTTGGGTACAGGCCGTTCGGCGAACTCGACATGATGCGCCCTTTGAGAATGAAGGAGAGATTCTGTGTGAGTCTGGCATCAGCTTTGTCCCACGCGCTGTTCAAGCTTGGGCTAAGATGCTCACACTTTTACCGGCAGATTCTAAAGAGTCTTGTGACTCCTCTGTAGTGGTTGCTGCCGTGACATCTTCACTCGCATTGTCTGCGTCAGATTTGTGCAATTGGGAAATTCCGGCTGCGCACTGGGTGGGAACCTGGATGAGGTCGATTTCATTTTTTGGCTGGCTGTGGTTTGGAATTGATCTTGGTTGGGTTAATGTCATGTTCGCGGGATTCAACGAAGACTAGTGTCTTGTATCCGCCAAGTAGCATGTGTAGATTGTCGGCCAGGGGCGCAACAAGGCAAGCCTTATTTAATACAAATTACGTGCCATTTAATTTTCCACCGTCAATGGCCTATCTAACGGCACCTTTTAAACCGTCCGGTTCAACCCAAGGCGAGGGTTTTAGATGGTGCTGAGTGGATCAACCGCCGGCTCGTTTGAATTCCTAGAATCTCCATGCGGCGGATGTGAAGTGGGAAGGCGGCGGCAGAGTTCGTCCTAGCCTACTTCGTCCCATCGTTCAAGAGACATGCCCCCGTTCATCAAAGCTAATGCATCATGTGTGACCATTCGGCTTCAATGTTCGGCATAGCTGCACGGTGACGACTTTGCGGCTCAGACACTTTTGTGTCTCCGAACAAACTGATTTCGCAGTCGTATCGATGCCGACCCTTGGTCGAGTGCGGAGATAATGTCCACGTCCCCTTCGGTTCCGATCACGACCCGGCGGCTTCCCACCAGAGTGAGCAATGCTTGTCGCAGGTGCCGCCGCAACAAGTCTCGTGTAAGCCAACTTTCCTCCGGGCCTGTGACGAAAGCTGACTTGATGGCAACAGTGCGATTCATTCCGCCCGTGCTCGCTGTGCTTGCGCGCCGATGTGGAATGCGAATCGATTCAGCTTGGGGTATCAGCACTCGGCGCTCGGGAGCCTGTCAGTCGCAAGTCGCGGCGAAGACTACGACGAATGTATGATCACTCATCTATCTACCTTGGAATTGAACCTAACAACGTGTCTCCACGGTAGACGACCTCCGCTAGGAGATACTAGAGGCAGCTCCAAGGCGACAACCTCGACATCGACATCACCTAGCAACGCACCTCCCAATGCCTCAGAACATGATGCATTTCATGATGAAATGCACCAAGTTCGGTGCGAAGTGCCGTCACAATTGTCAGACAATGTCCACTCGCGCCACAGCGAAGCGGACTCGGCTATGGGTATTGCGAGAAAGGTACGTTTGTGGTTGTCAGTTCTACATGTTACTTCTACATTGTGTGTATAACGCTCACTCTAGCGCCTGCAGATAAGCCGACTTGGGAGTCAAGGCATTGAAAGTTGTTCCACCTTTGCCATTCCTGACGGTGGTTACCGCGCCCAAAGTCCTCGCGCAGGTGTTGGTGATGCACGCATTCCCATATCAACCATCTTGGGAAGCCGATTTCCGGACCGTCGGCTCATCCACGAACTCATGGAGGACTACTTTGATGCAGTTCACTGGTTCTCTTTGGTTATGTACGAACGAAAATTTCGGAGGCAACTTGCCTCCGTGGAAGATGGGTATGCGTACCAATCTGATGCTTCTTTTCTTACTTTATTATCCATGGTCTTGTGCATGGCTGCATGGTACCGGTCGAACCGAGCAGCGCACGAGGGGGATGACGATTGGCGTCGTTGGACTGAGGACCTACTGGGCACTGTTGAATCCAGGTTGATCTGTCTGATGGATGAGACGTCAATTACAGCTGTGCAGACGTGCATCTTGTTGGGATCTCATCATGTCTACCACGGTCGACCAAACCTTTCCTTGCGCTACTAGGAGCAACGATTAAGATATCTCATGCTCTGGGTATACATCGCCATTTGCCACATAAAAGTCCTGACGAAACCGAAGAGCGAAAAAGGGTGTGGTGGACGATCTACACATGGGATAGGTATGCTGCCAACTCTTTGCTGCTAGATGTAACCCTCTGACTTGCCCAGATTTGCCTCCATCTCATATGGGCGGCCATTAAGCATAAACGACGAAGACTTCAACCTGGAGATGCCGCTAGAATATCCCGAATCGCCATACTTTTCTCGGCAACCGGGAGCCAGCAATCGTCAGACCTCGTATATTCGCGATACCAGACTGAATTGAGTAGTCTCTACCGCATTGTATCCCCAGCGTTGAAAGTAATTTTCGGCTCCATCTCCACGCACAATTCCAAGCAACGCTACGAGTCCGAGTACGCTTCACTAGTAAGCGATATAACTACAAAACTAAATGCCTGGAAAAGCAATCTACCTTCGCACCTTAGCCTGGATCTAGGTCAGGACTACTGCGCTAGAAATAGTGACTGGAAGACGCGGGCTCACACTTTACAATCTTTGTCCTTGCAGTTGACTTTTGACAATGTACTCATAGTACTTTATCGGCCGTTTCTAGCCAAGCAAGTTGATCACCTGTCCATCATGCCCTCAAACGCATATGCCCTCGCATCTCGAGCTGGCTCTCCTGTGCCTGAACTGCATGGCTCTCCATTGACCGAAAGCCTAAGAAACTTGACGGTCCCGGATGCCGTCAGCAACTCGACCAACAACTCGGAGTATTGGCTGAGTGCAGCGGTAAGAACGGGGCGAATTGTTGAGCTGCCTGAGCTCGCCCAGCTTGCCAAAGAGAGCCATCTCGTTGCTTTTATGGCTATAAACTTGTTCCACGCTGCCATCGTGCTTATACTTCTTGCCCTGTCTGACCCTCTGTCTGATAGAGCCCAGAAATTGAAGCGGGCAATCACCCGAGTACTTCGCTTACAGCACCTGCTGGGCAAGCAGTCAGCTCTGTCGAAACAGAGTGGTTTTGTACTCCAAAACCTTTGTCCACCTTGATTCGGAGAGATTCGACGAGCCGAAGGCATCAACCAGGGTACACGCAAGCCGGGATACCAGAGGTGTTAGCAGTAAAATACATGGGGCGCGAATGGACGTTTCGGTTCCGGCGGATGATTGAACCACGATGCTCGAGGAAGTCCGTCCCGCCGGAACATTCGAACATGCCCACACTACAATCATGTGTTAGACCAGACGTCAACACGCCTACCTACTTGGAACTAGCTTGCACGAGTCAATCCTTTGCGTCAAGCGTGCAGGAGTCTAAATATCGATGGCCACAAGCGGTGTTAATCAGGAGAATGCCGCGAGTCAGTCTTGACAATGGCACACCCAACAACCGGCGGAATGCTTCATACCAGCAATGATGAGCTACCCCGGATTACCCCAGACAACCCCAGAAGTCTGTTTCCTGTGCTACCGTCAATCCGAATCTTGAGGGAAATTTTTCTTATATCTATGTCGTAGCATCCTCATATCAACCGAGATGGGTCCCCTCGGCTTCAACATTATTCATCGAAAAGAACCTAGCATAATTGATACTCCCGAATTGTCGCAATGGATGCGTTCAGCACCCACAACGAGCAACAAAACTCTGCAGAAACGCCTACACAGCACCATTCTGGCCTTCAACTAGACGAGGCTTGCAATGACCCGACCCAGAGTTGGCTGGAAAGGAAGCTGAGGCCCTCCAAAATCTCAGCTCGATACCCTATCAAGGGCAAACCGTTACTCTTTGCAACATGTGCATTTGGCAGTCTCGGCGATGCTTTATTCGGCTACAATTCGGGTATCATGTCCGGGCTTCTTGTCAATCCAGTCTTCGTGGCCAGATTCTACAAGGATTACGGAGGAGCCGACGGCACAACTAGTAAGGTGAATCCTTCCATTACCGGCATCTCTGTCTCGTGCTTGCAGCTCTCTGCAGCTCTGGGGGCACTCATAGCTGGGCCATTGGGCGACATGATTGGCAGGAAGAAATGCGTCCGCCTGGGAGCGTTCATCTACCTCTTCAGCGCCTTCATTCAGACATTTGCCCCTGGATTCGACGCATTTGTTGCGGGACGCACGATCCAGGGTCTTGGGGTTGGGTTCCTTTCGATGACAGTTCCCATCGTTTAGACGGAAATTGCTGCGCCACATCGTCGTGGTCTTATGGTTGGAATTGAATACACCTTTCTCATTGCCGGGTATATGCTCTCGTGCTGGGTAGACTATGGCTTCAACTCTCTCCTTCCTGGATCAATGTCGTGGCAGGGACCGTTCATTATTCAGATTGCCCTTTCTTTTATTCTTCTTTCCATGTCATTTTTCCTCCCCCAGACCCCACGTTGGCTAGCGAAACAAGGCTTCATGAAGGAGAGCCTGCAGACGGTGGCAGACTTACACAGCAAAGGCGACGTCGACGCCCCGCATGTCAAGAGCGTGTTTCTCGAGATCCAGGAAGCAGTTCGATATGAGAGGACACTCGGGACCTCAAGCTGGAAGGTGAGCTTCATCTGAAACGACGCTATCCTAGAAGACATAAATACTAACATGCGTTTCTTAGGAAATGTTCACCCGCTATCGCAAGCGTACAATCGTCGGCATCACTATTCAAATGTTTGCGCAGCTAAATGGTATTAATATCATATCGTTCTATCTTCCAAGCACCCTTTCCGCGGCTGGGTTTGACGATAGGAAATCTTTGCTTTACACCGCCGCCAATGCTATACCTTATACGGCGGCAACCATCACGACCTGGTACCTAGCTGATAAATGGGGTCGACGACCTCTCTTTATCCTGGGTGGGCTTGCTATGGCAGCCTTGCTCGGCGTGGTGTGCGGCTTTACGCAGGCAAACCTGCCGGTCAAGATCAAAGCCGACGGCCAGTACGCCTTTGTCATGCTGTACAATATTGTTTATGGATTTACATGGGGTCCAATGCCATGGTGAGATAGCCGGCTCAATATTCGTTGACGCAAAACTTGAAACCAACCTCTGACTTATCTCTCTCTTAATCACAGGCTGTTGCCAGCAGAAATTTTCCCGCTCCGAGCGCGCAGCAAAGGCATGGCCCTCGCAACGACCAGCAACTGGATCTTCAACTTCATCATAGGCATGGTTTCTCCCGACGCTTTTTCAGGGATCCGTGGCTACTTTTATTTGATCATTGCGGGATTTTGTCTTTTCTCCGCCTTTCTTGCCTGGAGTTACCACGTTGAGACGGCTGGTCATACATTGGAGGAGATTGCTATTGCATTTGGCGACAAGGCCTTCATTGACGCTGATGAGGATGTTATCCAGAATACAGATTTCGGCACCCATGCAAACCAGGAGAAAACAAAGGTTTAGCCGAAAGCCCTGTGTCACATGTGAGGGGCTATTGGTGGTATGTAAGCCATCTTGACATTGATATTTCACTGGCACGATACATTTGCCTGCAAGAAAATACGCGTTTCTATTTATTTTATTTAGAGACTCATGGAACATACCGGCTATCTCGATAGCTTACAATGAATTGCGTCAAAGAAATTTAGTTTACTCAGTGCCGCCGCCAGAGCTGTAAAGTTGGAGACGAGTTGCTTCATGCGATGCTGTCAGATTGGTTTTAGCATTCCAAAATGGAAATAGACCAGTCAAGGGCTTCCATCCGCCCAGTGGAATAATATAAATCTTAATAATCGAACCACGAAAGTGGGAGCTTCAAGCTGCCACGCCAGCTGTCCATGTCAATCCTGTCATGGTTGAGTGGAACTCGCGACTAGAAGTGAAGTCGACACTGCTCGCAGCACATCAGACCTGGCCAAGCTGACTGCTCCGCAAGTGCAAAAGTACTAGGTGACCGAGATGTTGACACTTCAAAGACGAGATCTAATAGTATGGAGATCGATGACGGTGTCGACTATGAAACATGTGAAACTTCTACCCTTGATACGTTCATGAGTAAACCGAGGGCTACTGCTGCCTTCTCATCCCGAAACCCGGCGCAGATGGCAAGTACCAGTTGACATGTTCAGCTGCGCGGCTAGGGGGCGTACACGCTTGCAATGCCCAAAGCTCAAGCATGTTACGGGAGGCGGCCAGGGCCACTACCTACTTACCAGACAGGGACTGCTCCGATGCTCGACGCTGCCAAATGCGTGGGGCCGGTCAATGAACCCACTTAGATGCCGGTCCGGGCCGGGCCTTCCCCGAGACCCGGCGGGTGACACAGCTGGTGGCTCTCATTGTCTTCTCTGAGACAAGGCAAGACAGGCGGTTCACACGTCCCACAGATGTTATTGTACTTCAAAGGCAGAGCCATTAACCGAATGGCAGCGTCTTTAACCCGCATTGGGGACACTGCATGTTTTCTATAACCCGTTGTGCACGCTTGGAAAGGGGTATTGCGGTTCGAGTATTCGTAGGCTCCAGCCAATTCATAGAATCTCAGTAGAGTAGGTGCAGTGAACCGTATGTGGTGGATTGTTTTCTAGCAGTAGAGGCAAAGTTGTGATACTGGCCACGTTGAGGCAGTCAGCACTGAGGCCAGGCAATATCATTTCAATGTAAAGTTGCTGCCCGTAGTGCCTGTAGACTGGACTGCTGTCTGATGGCAATTGATGCCCGGGCCGTCGGTTGCAGTGACGTGATCCACTAAACATAGTGTGTTGGTCACTGGGACGGGTATTGACCCGTAGTACGGAGTACTAATATTGAAACCAACATTGAAACCAATAGTGAACCAAGCACCAAAAAGACGGCTGCCCTCACGGCCATGTTATGCCTTATGGCCCCCTTGGTGGCGAGGAATACACGCACAGACGTACAAGAGCCTTTTGCAGATTTAATAGGAGGAACAGCATTCCTGGCAGAGACCCGACTCGATAGTGGTACTTCGTGGTCCGGAGCAGACTGCTACGTTCCTGGTGACACAAATAGCCAATGGATGAAGGATTGGAGAGTGGAGCTTTTGCACAAGGGCAAGAGGGCAGGAAGGATTGGGGGTCGCTCCTGCGGTCTCGGTCGACTAACAAGAAATGGGCAAGAGGTCAATGCACCTGTGACCTGAGTGGCTAACACGGCCCCCTTGGTGCTTTCCAGGCTGGTTTTCCGTCGGCGCGGCCAATTCCCCATTTGCCTCTCTCTCTCTCTTCTTTTTGGTCTCCTGCCTCTTCTCTTACTACCTCTGATTCTGTTTCGTTGAACATTCTTCGCTGTCATGTTGTGACCGAAAGTTGGCTCTTCGGTGTCCACCTGCGCCACGAGGCGTGACGGAAACAGGCCTAGAGTCTACCAACAACCCACTTTCCTCGTCATAACCGCGTTGGTCTGACTTCTCGCACAACTCTCCGCCCCCCTCCACCTTCGATATCCATCGCCCACCAAGGTCATTTCCTGTCGCCAACCCTCTGGTGCTCGAGGCAGAGGCGGACGTCTGTCTTCCGTTCGTTGCGCACCGCCTCTATATCGACGGCAAGACAGGCAATCGCAAGCAAGACGGCTGCCCGATCATGGCTGAGCACAACCCCACGACTTCTGGCCCCGCGCCTCTGCGATCAGCCTTGAAGCCTGATGGCGACGGCGACAGAACCCCTCCGGCCAGCGGTACCCTTAAAGGTATGTGAATTGATGTGTCGTATCGTGACGTAGACTTGAAAATCGTTCAAGTATCATGAGGACGGGAGTAGTATATGTTCTCTTTATGGTTCGCTCCGTGACTGCCACGCGCTGATTCTGCACTACGACCTTGTGGCGCCATTCACCCATTCACCTCGTGAAAATGCCCATGCCCTATACGTCGATCGCAAGCTTACACACGGATAGCTGTGCAAATTGCCGAACCCGTTCCTGATTTCGAAGACGAGTCCCAATCCATCAAAACCTTTCGCGCAGGACCAAGCCGCCGACTAAGTGGCAAGCCAGCATCCGGCAGATCTTCAATTAGCGAAGGCTCGCCGGCTCTGCGACCGGATGACGATTCTGCGCCCTCTTCTAGTCATAACCACTCCCAGAGGCACCACCAGTATTACGCTGAAAAGCTGCTGGCCCAAGTTGCCGACTGGTTAGAACATGAAAAGAGAAAGAAGAATGCCGCGGCCAAACCCAAACCTCGTCGCAAGTCAAAGTCTCCTCCTGATCAAGACCGTTCGACTCCCACAGCTGCAGCTCGCGAAAGATCTGACTCGGTCGATTCACAATCCAGCGACGTGTCTTTTGAGAAACTCGAGCACATCTTACAGGATTCTTTAGCATCGCTTGGTCTGAGCTCCATTCCCCAGCATCCTCCCAAGCTTTCCCGCCGCCGGCGTGCCAATTCGAAGCCCAGCCTAAATCGCACAGCTTCGTCTGACACTGATTATGTGGACGGCGATGCTATTGTACCGAGCTGTGACGCCTGGTTGGACAATTCCAAGACGATGAGCTACACTGGTGGTGCCGCAAACGAGAGCGACCCTACAAGCGGCCAGGTGGAGGAGAATGATCCTTGGCTCATTTTTAAGAATGAAATCATTCGCATTGCCCATACCCTCAAGCTCAAGGGATGGAGACGCATACCGCTGAATAGCGGTGACACCATCACAGTTGAACGATTGAGCGGGGCGTTGACCAACGCAGTTTATGTTGTAACACCTCCAATGGATCTTTCCGAAATTGAGGGCAAAAAGAGTCCTCCTAAATTGCTTCTGCGAGTATACGGCCCTCAAGTGGAGCACCTCATTGACCGTGAAAACGAGTTAAAGGTACTCCAGCGTCTAGCACGAAAGAAGATTGGTCCCCGACTTCTGGGAACATTCCAAAACGGCCGGTTTGAGCAGTTCTTCAACTCTATTACCCTGACACCTGCTCACTTGCGTGAACCGGATACCTCGAAACAAATTGCCAAGCGAATGAGGGAACTGCACGATGGTATCGAACTCCTTCCTATTGAACGCGATAGCGGCCCCGGGGTATGGAAGAATTGGGACCAGTGGGTGGAAAACGTAGCCAAGATCATGGCCTATCTTGACCGGCAATGGGAGACCACTTCCATCCCCCCAGCCAAATCTGACTCTGTCGTTCACGCCTGGAAAGCAAATGGCTATGTGTGTGGAGCGCCGTGGGATCAGTTCCTGGCCATGGTGGTCAAGTACCGAACACATTTGGTCAAGTGCTACAAGACCAAGAACATGATGAAGGAGCGATTGGTGTTTGCGCATAATGATGTAAGTGACGACGTGGTGCCCGCAATTTGCCACCAAACACGCTGACATTGTATTCGACAGACTCAATATGGAAACATTTTGCGTATTAAACCAGATGATGAAAAGTCACCTCTGCTTCAACCAGCCAATAAGCACAAGCAGTTGGTTGTTATTGATTTTGAATATGCTGGCGCCAATCTCCCCGGCCTTGAGTTTGCCAATCACTTTACGGAGTGGACGTACAACTACCACGATCCCGTCACTTCCCACGCCTGCAATCACGAGAGATACCCGACCCCCGAAGAGCAACGACGTTTCATCAAGGCCTATGTTGACCATCGCCCCCAATTTGCTGTAGCTAGTTCGACTCCCCGAGTCAAACCACAGGACATCAAACTACAGGACAGTGGTCCACCTACTCCATCTCTCAACCCTACCGCCTCAACCAGCTCGATCGTCGACTTCATGCTTGATGCCCGCGTCCCCCCCGGTGGCTGGAGCGCTGCCGAGCGTGCGCGAGAGGAACAGAGCGATTTAAACGTACGCCAATTACTGGAGGAGACCCGTCTTTGGAGACCTGCATGCAGCGCCTTCTGGATTGCATGGGGCATCGTACAAGCCAAGGTTCCAGGCTTGGATGCCAACAATGAGCCCGTATCCGAAGAGGAGGCAGTAAAAGCCGAGCAAGAATTGGGCCCTGACGAATTTGACTACTTGAGCTATGCGCAGAGCCGAGCTTTCTTCTTTTGGGGTGACTGCGTGCAGATGGGATTGGTCAAACCTGAGGAATTGCCCGAGAGGTTGAGGTCAAAGTTGAAAGTTATTGACTATTAGATAAATGCACTAATGCGATGATTGCTTGGACGCAAAACCATGCAACTGCCACATTCTAGCATCTGTATAGGTAGACATCTACGAATTCTGAAAACACTCAATGCCATGATAATGTGGTCATTCTATTTTCCATAACATGCGTCATCTAGACATGTAGCGTTGCATCCAATCCAATACCCCAACCATGCCTACAAGTTACGCATCCAACTTCAGCCGCTCTAACATGGCATCGATCTTCCCTAGCAAAATCTGATAGTTGATCGCATCCGATGCAAACTCGTCCTCGGCCATCTCGCCATCCAAAGTCTTCACAACACCGTCTCCCCCAACTCCGTTCTGTACAGCATGCCCATTCACCATGACGTCCCCTTGTTCTGCCAACGACACCGCCGCCCCGGCGTCAATCTCCCCATCCTCACCCATCATGTCATCCAGCCCGGCATCCTCGAAGCGTAATCTAAATCGTTCTGACAAGTAATATCGTATATCATCTAGCAATTCAATCGTATCCGTCTCCTCGCGACGCTGGATTCGCTCCGCGCTCTCACGGATAAGTTCCTGGAAATCGGGATCGTCAATGTAGTCCTCCAACCTGGTGGCCAAGTAGCGCGCCGCGAATTCTTCCAGCCTCTGCACGCGGAGATCCCAAGCTGCGTGGATGACGTCGTAAATGTTTATGGGCTCCATTTCCACCAGCTCCGCTTGTTGCTCCGCGTGCTTGGTGCCGTTCGCCAGGCCATGGGCGTGCTTGTGGGTGCGGTCGACGAGGACGCTGGACGTGCCGCTGCCCAGGGTGCTGATGGCCTGCGCGGCTTTGCTCTTCAGCGCATCTAGGAAGAGCATGTCTGCCGTGTACAGCAGGTCCAGTGCGTGCTCGAGCGGACACGTGGTGTTTTCGGTGTACAGGAACGTGAGGACAAGTTCGAGGACCGGGGGGGTGCAGTCCACGGTGACGACGTGCAGGTTTTCGGAGCGGTGGGACTCGACAAAGTCCCCCGAGAACATCCTGTCAAAGTACCCGCTGCGAATGAGCATGGCTTTGTGGACGGGGTAGAGGGCGGATTTGCGAGGCCGCCTGCCGGTGCCGATGGGGATGCCCTGGCCGTTGAGCACGGGGGTGTCCTGGGAATCTTCGTCGTACGTCTCGTCCGCGCGGAGGAGCACGTCTGCAAACGCGGGGTTGTCGTATTTCCACTTGACGTCGTTGACGCGCTCGGTATCGACTACCATTTTGCTCCCCAGGACCTTGGAGGCGAAAAAGTCGCCGATTTGCTTGAGCGCGCGCTCCTCCTCGTCTTGGTACCGCTGTCTCGCCAGGCGGCGGTCGTTGCCCGCCAGGATGGCCTCCCAGAGGTGCTCGACTTCAAGCTGCTTGCTGATCTTATCCAGGCCCCTGACGACGTCTTCCTCCGAGATGGAACTGCCGGCCGGCACCAGATCCCTGGGCAAGTCGCCGAGGTATAGGTAGCGGAGGACGATCTGGATGGCCTCCACGGGGATGGTGTTGGCAAGGTTCCATGATGGGGTTTCGGGCTGTGCTTCCAGCTTCTTGCGGAAGTAGGGTGTCCTTGAGGCCAGGAGAAACTTGTGCAGGTTGAAGGTGTGCGAGTCCGAGGTCAGGGAGATGTCTGATGTAGTTGGGGTGGAGCGGTTGAGGAGTCCGGATATATGGGTGGACCAGTAGACGTAGGGGTCGGAAGACTTGGAGAAGTCATACTGCAGCAGGAGGTTGCGTATTCTATCATTGAGGGCGTTGTATATGCAGCGTTCTCCTTGGAACGTGTTGCGTTCGGCCAGAGCCCCTTTTGCCACTTAGCTTCTGCTCCTGTAGCATTCTATTTGATGGGCTTCGGCTGAGGGGGCAAAGAAGTACCTGAATCTAATAAAAGCTGGACAAGTTCATAATGTCCACAGAGACTAGCCTGTCACATCATATCAGCCATGGAGATGAAAAGATGAGGCGGTCTCGCATGACGACTCTCCAGGGTAGTGCTCACAATAATGAGTGGCGTATAGTCAAATCGGTCTTTGCCATTGATGTTGACTCCCTGGCTGATGAGTTCCTGGCACTTGCGCAAATCGCCGTGTCTACAGGCCAGCAGGAATTCGTTAAACTCGTCGCTCTGGTCGAGAGGGTTCTCGTCGCGCAACACGCCGCTCTTGATCATTGCGCTCTCCTCGCCCAGCTTCCCCTCTAATTCGTGCTTGCGGAGCACCATTTTCGGCTGCCGCGGCGCAAGGATCTCTGCCCCGTTGGGATGATGTATACAGAATCAGACATGGAATATGAGAACAGATGAAAGTACATAAATGGCAAGAAATCTATTCTAGATGCAATGCATGACGAGTGACAAAAAGAGGAAGCCATGCTGTTCCACTCATGGCGTTTTAGCGGCTCTTAATCAGTCGTTATACAATTGTTAAGTCCGAAGCATTGCCATTGGCTGAACACAGCTGCCACAGTTTCCAAGTAGCCTCCACCTCTGTGGCGCGCTTATCGATAAGCCGTTGCCGTGGCAGCGACCGCTACTGTTTACGCCGGTCATTCTTACCCTGGTCAATTCACGGAACCACTAGCCATGGGCGGCTCATTGCACACCGGGACGACGCTATTCTGTGAGCAGGACAACCAAAGGCTTTCTTTCCCTTAGATGTCTGTGCCTGAACTTTAACGACGTCCAAGGAAAAAAGTAGCAACCCTTCTCTCGACAAACATCCTCATCATCAACATCATCATCACCAACAGCCTTTGTTACTAACCACAGCAGGGTTTGCTTTCTTTTTTGCGTTGCTTGATTTGCGGTGCATCATATTCCACGCAGCGTCTTGGTTACTTGCAAGTGTAATTTTGCTACGATACTGCATGACAGCGTTTATGGGTCGTTGAAGGACGAGCCACCACCACATTGGGATTGACGTTGGCTCTCGCTTCCAATAGTACCGATTCGACATGTCGTCAGAAGACAAGTACGAGACCCTGGAGAAGATTGGTACGTCGACTCTCTGCCAGACTCTTGTTGAACCCGGTTCTGACTGCTGCTTTCGCTTAGGCCATGGCTCCTTTGGGGTAATTCGAAAAGTGCGCCGGAAGGCTGACGGCTTCATCATGTGCCGCAAGGAGATTTCGTATCTCCGCATGTCCCAAAAGGAGCGCGAGCAGCTCCATGCCGAATTCCAGATCCTCTCGCACTTGCGCCACGCCAATATCGTCGCCTACTACCACCGTGAGCACCTCAAAGCCAGCCAGGACCTTCACTTGTACATGGAGTACTGTGGGAATGGCGACCTCGGACGAGTCATCAAGGACTTGCAGCACAAGGGGCAGAGAGCACAGGAGAGCTTTGTATGGAGTATTTTCAGTCAACTGGTCATGGCGCTGTACCGGTGTCACTACGGTGTTGATCCGCCCGAGGCGGGTGCGAATGCACTTGGTTTGACACAGGGGAGTGCAAATGGGACGCCAAAGGTGCCTGCTGGTGCCATGACTATTCTTCACCGAGACTTGAAGCCTGAGAATGGTATGTTGTGACTGTTGCAGTTGCGGCTGTGAATGAATACTGACAGCATCCAGTCTTTCTGGGAGAAGACAACTCGGTCAAGTTGGGAGACTTTGGGCTATCCAAGATGATCAAGTCTCATGACTTTGCATCTACATATGTCGGCACGCCCTTCTACATGTCGCCTGAAATTTGTGCTGCGGAGAAGTACACTCTCAAGTCAGACATATGGTCACTCGGTTGCATCATTTACGAACTCTGTGCACGGGAGCCTCCTTTTAACGCAAAGACACACTTCCAATTGGTACAGAAGATTAAGGAGGGAAAGGTCGCTACGTTACCTGAAATGTACTCCCCTGAACTGAATCAGGTTATCCGAGACTGCCTTAAGGTGAACCCGGACAGGCGACCAGACACGGTTCAATTGCTCAATTTGCCAGTTGTGAAGTTGATGCGCAAGGAGAAGGAAGTCGTCGATTTGAACAAGTGCTTGCGCGCAAAGGAGGACCTTCTCCATCAGAAGGAAAAGGAGTTGAATGAGAGACTTGCCAACCTTGAACGAGAGAGACTGATGATTCGGGAAGAGATTGATTCCCAACTGCGGATGGAGTGGGAGGTCAAGGCTCGGCTCGAAATTGACCGTCTCGCCAACGCGGAAATCGAACAATTACAGCACCGATTTGAGGAGGAGATTAAAGTACGCGTCGACGCCGAATTGCAAAAACTAAAGCATGCCAATGTCGTACAGCCAGAAGCGCCAGAAGCGGTCCGTCCCATCGAAGAGTATACCTCAGCCTCAGCTGTTGCTAAGCCGGATTATCCGCAATCATCGGCGGGCGGCAGCGGCGATGAGTTTCCTTCAACAACAGATCTTAGCGAATACTCTCTGGACAGTCCGGAGGCATCAAAAGAATCTAAAAGAGCAGCACGAACACCGTTTGGCCGAGCCCAAACAATGTTTGCCGGCCACGCTGGAACGCCAATGGACGTCGAAATGGCATCGCCCAGTCCCATGGCCATCGCCAACCTTTCCTTGTCTCCCCGTCGTGGTGGAGCGACCAAGGCCCCTACAACTCACTCGGGCAACATCTTTGCAGCCAATGCAAACCAAACTGCTGATCCTAGATGGGACCTTCGTGAACCGCTGTCCATCGAATCTGACGACGAGGACATTGTGCCCTCACCCACGCGGAACATTCGCTCTGCCAAGAATCCGTTTACTTCCAAGAATCGGCCCGTTCTCTCCTCACAAAAATCCTGTCCTCTCAACCGTCTTAAGCCTCAGGCGTCTGCCACCGGGTTAGTCTCTAAGGCGGTATTTGGTCCTCAGGCCGAGCCTCGCCCACGCTCGCCAACACGACAAATCAGCAAGATTCCATCAATGGCAAGCCTGCCAACAGATACAGGTGGCGGCTTGACGCGAAAACATTCCGTCAAGAAGGACATCAATGGCGGGGAGGCCCTGAATAAGATGGCGGCTAAGAACAACATCAAAGGTAGGACCCTCGTTGAACTGCAACAAGCTCGCGCTGGAGGTCGTCCGGCGAGTGCCACTGGTGGTGCTCTGGAGAATGTCAGTCCTAAGCGTGCTACGTTTAAGGAAAAGGTCGGCGAGCGGAGAGTGAGTGGAGGCAGTGGCAGCAGCAGCGGCAGTGAGTCTGTGGCTGTTTGGGACCCAGAAAAAGACGAGATGCCGAGTCCCTTTTTAGTAAGGCAGAAGCGTATTGTCAAGGTGTAGGAATCCTTGCTTCGCTGAGGCGAATGATACATGAATATGCCGGGGTGAAACTGCGGCGAGGAGCTTGACAAGGAGAAATGCCTCCGATGCCGGGTACGCAAGACACGATTAGCTGCTTCTTTTTGTGTTACACATTCTTTTTTCTTTCTTTTTTTTTTCTTCTTTCCTGTTTGACACTGGTATTTTGGTGGTAGCAAGTTGGATAGATGCTGGAGTATTGAGAAAAGAGTAATGGGGACGAGGGTTATGAATATGGGCATGCTCTGGCGTTACGGACAAGGTAGTCTATACAAGACTCGTGGTTTCTTTTTGTTTCAGGATTGGATTGACTCGCAGCCTCAGTTCTTAATGAGACTCGCTGGGCAGAGGGGGGGAGAGGAGAGTTGGGCGTGTAGATACATGTGTTTTGTGCTGCTTAGCGCCGAATTTATTCATCTCATATGTCGCGGAGTTTGTGATTGATGAAACTGACGTGTGCGCTGCAAAACCATGCGATTTAGATTCGCGTTTGTCGTATTGATGATTATTGCTCCGATAGGCAGATTTGTTGATGGAACAAAAGGATGAGTCTGTGGATCGACGTATCATGGCAACTGGCCACACTTAGGTCAATGACCCTGTACAGTAGTACATAAACGCCGAGCGTTGGCTACCTGGACTAGCTGAGCTGTGCATCTTTCTCAACCCCGTGATGGCTTCACACACAGACGGGTTTTCCAGTTTTATTTCCAACTTAGTATAACCTAAAGCACTTGGATACCGGCATCGTCATTGGGCTCGACAAACGGCGGCCGGAACCTACGAGACGATACACACCGTGTTGTCTTAAGGTATGACCATCTTTTACTGCTGCTTATTTTCTCCGTATCTAGGCATAATATGTCTGCTGCTCTGGCATGCCAATTTCGTCGCTTGGCCTTGTCAGTCGAGGTTGCGGAAATTGCGTCTAAAACGGCGTCAACGTGCCAGAGGACCTCTTTTTCTGGACGAGCAAGGCTTCGTCGCAATCGATTCTCGTTGGATACTGATGCCATGTCCATTGCTGCTTTTACGCAGCATTTGCGAATCCCGCCGGGCCAACCGGCGACATCCCCTTCCACATACATGTACGGGGAACATGGGGTCGCGCAACCCATGGCAACAAGGCGGGAACATTTCGCGCATCCCCCGCAGCCCTCAAATCTGTCAATGATGCGAGGCGACGTTTTATCCGGTAACCCGACAGCGTGGGCAGTGGGAAAACAAGATCCATTTGGGTGCCTACAGGCGTCCCCTCTCATTGGATCAGTGGCATCGGGCACAAGCTCGTGTTTGTTCTTTGCGTGAGGGGTTCGAACCAACCGACTACCTGGCTCACACCGAAATTGGCACCACGGTCAAGTGTTTGAGGTGAAGGCGTGACATTTTAGTCCGGACTACCCCGTAAATCTCTCCGTGCAAACGTCTCAGACACTCCCCTCCACAGTCCTTCCGCTTGGTGTTACTTCCCCCAAGCCAGGCAACAGACAAAAAAAGGAAAAAAAAGAAAAGAAAAGGAAAAGAAAAAAAAAAGACTCAAGTGTCCCAGCGCCGCTCCAGTCCAGTGGTGTCCCCAAAACGTTATCTCGCGATTGGCAGAAGTCTTTTCTTGTTAATCCACAGGGTATAAAACATGACAATGAAAGCAAAACAACCCAAGTCCATTACACCATACTTTATGCCATCTGCTGCCACAGAGTAAAACGCCGGGAGAGTTTGGTCCGATGATATGCAGAAGCTTTTTGGGTGGCTGATTTAAGGAGACGTTTTTCTCTCCTGATTTGTGCGTACTGCGGGTATCTAATCCGAAGCAAAATCAAAGATCTGGGATCTCCGCCAAGATCGGGTAAAAATTTTCCAAAGGCAAGATATTAAAAAAAAAAAAAAAAAAAAAAAAAAAAAAAAAAAAAAAAAAAAAAAAAAAAAAAAAAAAAAAAAAAAAAAGAGGCAACCCATGAATGTGCTCAAGATGAGGGGGGGATTAATAAACGCCAGATGAATAAGTCAACGGAGCCGTGAGGCCTGTCCATATCTTTGCACGGCCGTGAGGCCTCTGTTCCATCTTTGAGGTTCCCTTTCCGACCATCTCCTTCAATCCTCATTCGTACAATCCAACCTTGATCTCGTTGAGCTAGCGTTCATGCGGAGGATGCATGGATCCCCTCTGCGTGTAGATAAATCGTGGCCGCGGGGCAGGATAGCTGATGAGGCTCTGTAATATATATAATTTTGTTCGTATTGGACGATGCTCCTGCTGGTATAGGTGACTCGCTGTGGGCATACCGATTTTCCGTTTAGTGCCTACTCTTGTGAGACGAGCCTTGCTTATGCGAGTGGGAGTGTGAGTGCTTGTGGGATGAATGCTTGTGGTGCCGACTAGATGTTCCGCTTGCTTCCAAGTCTCGTTCGAGGTCCTCCACCCTGGACCGATATCCCTTCACAATTTCCTTGATATGGGCTATTCGGTCAAAGTCCGTCTCTAGCTCGTCAAGTTGCACCAAAATCTGCTGATATCTCGCGATTTCTGCATCGGCACCGTCAATGATATTTCCAGCGCGGTCATATTGTACTTGGGTGAACATCTGTGCTTGCTCGCTAAGATATTGTATGTTTTGTTCGATATTTGCCATCAGCCGATCAAAGTACCTTCCCAGAGCAGCAAGAGAGGAGCTGTCTAGTAGTAGTAGACCTTGACTGCTCGCTCTGCTGGCGGCACGCGAGCTGGTCGATCCCCCTCCGAGTGCTGCTTGGCCTTGCCGCAGGAGCTGTATCTCCTCCGCTGAAAGCCCTAGTTGCGTGTCCGGCACAGCATTGGTCGTCATGATGAGCAACACGCGCAAGGCGTGCGAGAGCGCCTAGAAAGGCAAAAAGCCTTCACGGCTTGGTGGCCGAGCCCGTCAATGCTCTCGAGACGGCTCAGCGACAACGATGGTTATTGGGGGTTCGGGGCTGATTGGTGGTGCTGCTGGCATTGGAGAGCACGAGTGCTTGGCCGATGATTGTCTGTGATGGTGAAGTCGTGCACAATCATGCATGATCTCGAAGAAGCGACGTCGACGGGAGCCAAGTCCACGACGCGCTGGCACAAGTACGTGATGAGGAAGGGTGAAGGTGGGAGAATCCGAGGTAAGCATTCGTACCCTTCAAAGTCGAAGAAGCTAAGCGCGGCAATAAGATGGTGGGTGCACGGCTTGTCCGGCCGCCGTCTGGCCTGGCAGGGCCTTTCGTTTTGGCCACCAGGTCCTGGTGGTCGGTTTCGTCGAAGAAGAGAAGAAAAGGGGTGGGGGTGGGAGGGCGAGAGATTATCAAGTCAGCGCGTGATTGGAGAATGGTGGGGGGTATCAAGGACGGGCACAGCTCGTTCAATGTCAATGGCGGATCCTCAGCGGGCCAAGCCGTGAGCCTGGCTTCAAGGTTGGGAATAGAGGAGGTTGACTCCCCCGGTAACTCCGTAGATTGGTTCCTGGATGAAAGGTGTATTATTTTTGTAAAGACTCCCACCAGAGCAGGTTCTTTTTTTGTTTTTCGTTTCGTCAACAGGCTCGGGAGAACTATTGAAGCTACGGGCTGGGTTCTAATGCAGGTTAGAAACGTGGGTGTGGTACCTTGGCGATTTCGTTGACGCACCTACAAGGAATCAGCCAACACCAAGACTTGCGAGGACTCACTCTATCAGGATGAGCTGCAGCAACCGCCCCCAAGCTCCCTTAGTTCCTGCTTCCGCTGAGCACCCCGGGTCGAGGAGTCCAAGTCCAATGGCGGGCGGGTGAGGGATTGGATCAGGCGCAATGTCATCCCGGCCAGCAGCTTTAAATCTGTTGGTGGGCAGAACACAATCAACGACTGGGGATGGTGGCAGCACCAACTTCAAAGTGCCTGTGCGCGTTTGCTCAGGATAACGTCCCTTGTCAGACTGCGTGCCCAAGTGGTGACACGCACTCCTCTCCAGGTAGTTGAGTAACTTGAATTGCTTCCACGCGCTGTTTGCTTCGTGCTCATGCCCACGTTATGTTCCTGCTCCTGCTCCTGCTGCACATGGCGCAACCTGCACGTAGAGTGGAGCTGTGGATTGGCGGCCCGAGGTGCTGGGAACTAGGAAAGAACGACCGGTTGGATGGCGTCAGTCATACAGTTGCGGGGGACGGTGAGCTGCACAGCCAATTTCTTCTGATCCAGGGCTCTGCCAACCTACACGTTCATCTGTCCCCCGTCGTTGGCCTCTTCTCGCTTGAAAGCCATCACTGTCACTGCATTTTCCAAGCTTAGGCTTGAATCCGAGAATGGAGCCCTGCCTGACGCCGAATCAGCCCTTGTTAGTGACTGAAAAAGTACTCTCTCCTCCCGACAGTTGATGCAATTGCAGGCCTGGACCTGGAATTTATTGCAAGGACTCTGGCCTTTGTGACATTGCCGCTTTATCTCCATCGCACCGCGGCGAGGCAGTATCACTCAAATTTGTGGCGGTGGCCTGGATGCAATCATTCAGCTGATGCTCCCCAACTCAGTCGCGTGCGTAGGGGCCGCCCGGACAAAGCCACCACCCACCAATGTGAACTGATGGTCACGATAGGAAGCTGGAGTGTGATTGTTGCGATGGATAGGGTGCTCGACCCCTGAGATGGTGTGTATTGCCCTTCTCTGGTCTTCCCGTGCATATTAGTGCCTCTTTGAGAGGAGGAGGAATGGACCACCACCATCTTGCACTGATCACGAGTGTGCGAAGAGTTCCTCGGTTGACGACTGTGAAGCACATTTGCTCGTGCCTCTTGCCGCTACGAGTGCACCTTGGCTCACAGTTATGTGAGCGAATGCTGAATTATAATGTACATGCAAGGCACTCCGCGTTACACAACCGTGCACGTACATTACGGCGCTGCTACGCATGTCGGAAGCTCCCGCCACGTCGAATGCTACACACACAAAAGAAAAAAAACAGCTAGAAGGAAGAAGAACGAAAATCTAGATAGAGCTGTCAAGTCTTCGGGCGTCGTTCTGCTATTTCGCTAACAGGCCTCCGTATCTTCTCGCCTACAAATTCTGACTATACGGAGTATTCCGGCAGACATCGTTTCCTCTATGCTTTCGGCAGATGTCTTGTGAAACTTGAGCATTAGGGTCTGTCTCCACGGTTTGCAAGACATGGGAACACAGCATGTCGTTTTAACTAATCTTGAAGCTGTAGTACGCAATCTATCGTTAAAAAGAAACTCCACTCTCAGTTGCTTGCATCATATGATAGCCCATCAGCAATGTGATTGGCCCTGCAGCATTACTGTCAATACGGAGTAGCACTAACTGAGAGACAAACTGAAGGTTGACAGCTGCATCTCATGGCAGTGATATCCGAGACATGTGTCTGAGACACGATATTTGGAAGATTTTCTGAGCGCTGTTACAAATTTTATATTTCAGCAGCAAGAGGACGGAACAAGCTCAAACAATACGCAATGAAATGTCGGCAACAACGCTGAGCGTTGAATTCTGAAATATGCCGCGCAATGCCTCCTTGGATGCGCTGTCTGACGGAAGTCAATAATCCGGGCGTCTACTGCGATTTGCATGAACGCGACCCCCCCAGAGAAAGGAAAAACCACCAGATGGACCAGTCGGAAAATTCCAAATATTATGCGACTGTTTAAAGTTGGAAGAACTTTTAGTCTCTAACATGGGGAAAGTCATGCGTCCTGAACAGATCTTTGCATTTCACCCACTTCTAATGGCCCCGCGACATATGACGTATCAGAGTTGGGACATACGATTCCTTTAGGTACATAGAGACCGATCGCCATCCAGGATTTACACAGTTCTCATGCCCTCCCTGGGCCACATCCAGATCGGACTCCAGCGGTTCGACTTATTTGATCATGTTGCCAACTCCAGGCTTCGATTTGCGGATGAAACGCTGCCAAGGACGGATCTGAAGCTAAATGATACACCGCTATGATCTTCGATAACAGCATTGATATCGGCAGAAGATGAAACCTGCCCCTCAAAAGAATCGTCGCCACCAACCACATTTACCGAGGTCTCGACCTGTCGAATAAGGTTAAACAGGGTAATTCCAGAAGAGGAACAGCTGAGAAATTTGTCATTCATGAACCCCTAGAGTTGGGGTAGTTTGTTTCTAGAACGCCAAGCATATCTTCTCGCCCCTTTGGAAACAAGGTGTGTCAATGGCTGTTTCTGCTGTTGTCTCCATTGCCGTTGTATTTACACAGTTTTACAGCAAAGTGCCGAGAAGACACTTGATGCTGCCACGATCAACCCCAAGTACCATGCAACGACTACCGACAACACATCGCGATATGCATGCTGCTCTATTTGTCAGTGTGCAATAGACGGGTTACATGAATTTGCTTGAATTGGGCCACACCACTGTGCCGGTTTGTTGGGGGCTGGTTGTGTAACACGACTTGCAACAGAAAAGCAACAACCCCCATCAAGAAACTCATATCCAAATGCTATACTCCGTAGAGCACGTCGTAAGGGACTGCCGAGCTTAAGTCACACTTAGAATTATACATACGACGGTTGCAGAGAGAAGGCTGGCATTGCGGATTGGCGAAAACCGAAGAATCTCCATTGTGCAAATGTTGATACTACGTTCCGTCCATGATGGGCTCGCCTCCACTTCAACGGCGGGCCATGCGACGTCGGTTTCACGACGACTGGATGTAGTTTGACGGCATGCTCCGGCCGAAGGATTTCCGAACTTGGGACTCGTTACCGGCAGCGGCCATCAATTAATGACACCCTCCCCCCACCCAAAAAAAAAAAAGAGGTGCTGGCCTTGTGCTACACAGGCCCACATACGGGAGTCAATCATCAGTGCCACCGAACCCCCTGGCACATTGACGGACATCCACTTCGGCAAAAATTTTAACCCCAATAAATCGAAATCTTCTCCCAGTGGGCTCTTGGAATTATTCTGGAAGGTCTGCAGCATTCTGATTTTTATGATTGATTATACTACGACCAAAACTTTGTCCATTGCCAAGGCATCACTGGCCTTCAAGCTCTGTGCGTTGCCCCATGCGCTTCTCAATACAGGCCAGACACCCAGAGCTTCGGCTCAACCACAAGATGAACGCCTCGTTTTCAGACAGTTGACCCCCAAAACACTCGAATGGGAAGTGGGAACTATCAATTGATATTCCCAGCACAGTGGGTGAGATCGACGTCCATGCCCCTGACTCACGACCCGCCACGGCGGATATCAAAATATGTACTACCAGACAGTATTATGTGTGACGAGGGAATCTTCATTACATTCCGGCTGCCTCGGATCGATGAGTATCACAGCCACAACGCACGCTAAAAGCCGCAGACGACGATGGCGGACCACCATGGCCGTTAAAAAGTGATTTGCCCACTTCACAAGCCAAGGCTGCCCGCCCTTGACGCTACGTGCACTTTCTGCTTTGTATTCACAACTCGTATGGAGTACTAGCGCAACATTCTAGTTGACCCGACTCGGGCACTGCTACCTCGGAAGCCAATCATTACGCCTCTCGGAGCCAGCGCCGTGAAGCACCAGAGTCTGGGGTTCCAAGGCGATCTGAATCGCAGTCCCTTTCCGCCTCTGGTATTTTATGCCTAACCCTACCGCTCCGCTGTGATCTCCCATTATTAAAGCACATGCCCAGGCCGGAGTAAAATGATCGACAGCGGGCGCATAAAGCATTTATCTTCCCCCCGAGTGTCCCAATGAGCAGGGTTCCAGGTTTACGCCCCGGAAGGCCGTGGGGATTTTTTCGATTTTCATCTCAATAAACTGTTTGCCTCCTTGCGGTCCCCTCCCCGCTCCGACTTGTCTTTTCTCATCTACGTAATATATATCAATTTTGAAGCTTCTCTAGGCACCCCCATCCCCGCCCAATCTAGTTTATTTTGCAGCACAGTCTTTTAACGCGCGGATTGTGCTGTCGGCCAACTAGTCTTCAACCGGCTCTAGCTACACAGATTAGACCAGCTGTGACCAACGGCTTTTTTTTTTTGCCCCACCGAGGCTGCCTTGTAACCTGCTCCGACACGAGCCAAGCAATTCTGTGTCGGTGCCACGTTGAAGTATGATTGCTATGTCGTCCTACGATTCAACTAATAAGGCACCGGGCTGAAGCTTGCTTAGTCGCGCACACTAGACGGGAGTCCCTTGTGTATTAAGAAGCAGGAACAGCATTATAGCCAGGTTCTTCAATAACACAGCCGTAGATCCTATAATAGAATCTCGGAAATGACTGCCGTATTCTGTGGATGTCATTTGGCCATGGAAAATTTTACACGGCCACAGCACTAAGTTCTTATGAAGCGCATATCTAGGCGAGATATTTGGAAGCAGACGTCACACATGTTGCATAACTCGCGAGATATGGTGGTGAGAAAATCAAAGAGGCAGGGCAAGGTGCATAATTCCAAGAGTCTCTTAATGTACACCTTGTCGTCGTAGACAGACTCCCCCCGAACGTCCTGATAGATCCACCGCTTCCAAGCTTGAAAGCCCGTTCCATGTCTGACCTGTAAAACGCCTGGCCGTTGACCAAAACCATCTTGATTTCTCGCCTCCTTACCAAATCCATCCCACACAACTTGTGCAAACACCCAAAAAGCTCGTTTTGCATCATAACCCTTGTGCAGATATTGCCGCTAAATCCCAAACACCAGCGCCGTGAAGCCAGAACATCCGATGGAGGACAAAGTAAGATACAAATTAATCGCGCGGTAGCACGAGGGAAAACCTGGTCCCGCTATCCACAACTTGATCTCGTCTACCTCAGCGGTTGTCGACCTGAGTTGATGTTGAAATTGTGACACCCACGTTCGTGTCGTTTCATGTTGCTGCGGACACTGAAAGCCTTACCACAGCCTGCGTGGGGACATTTAAACGGCTTCTCCCCCGTGTGAGAGTGACTGTGTATGCGAAGGCTGCTAGGACGACTGAATGCCTTGCTGCACGTGGGGCAGATGTATCGATCTTGGCTTTGAGTGTAGGACATGCCGTGGACGGGGCTGAGGTAGTGATGATGCTGCCAAGGGTTGCTGCCAGATGACGGAGCATATGCGATAGGGAGCGTCATGGGCGGAAACGTTTGTGGCAATGGTTGCTGGTAGTAGAGGTTCGAAATTTGAGGATGCGGAGCCGCACCGGATGGGAGTGCCGAGTGATAGTAACCCCCTACTGTCGACAGGCTAGGGATTGCCCCCAGGGGGAGATTCTGTTGAGAAATAGCGGGCTGAGTATG